GGCAGCGCCCCGCCGACCCCCGCAGCCAGTACTGCCCGGCGCTCGGCACCGGCCGGGGGCGCCTCGGCCATGCGGGACTGCGGCAGCATGAAGCCAGCCTCCGCGCTCCTGTGCCGCCTGCTCCTGCTGCTCTTTGAAATGGGGAGCAGGGTAGGTACTTCCACTGGGACCCTCTGCCTTGGCTCTGGCACCAGGGCCCTTCGGATGTTGGGCTTCTTTTGCCTTTATTTTTTTTGGGGGGGTGTCTTTCCTGTCCTGTCCTTTTCCTTTCCTTTCCTTCAAGCCTTTCTCTTTCCACTTGTCTCAAGCCCCCTTTGCCAATCCTTTCCAGACCGCACCTGTGTATGCTGGGGACCCAGCAGCTGGAGCTCCTGGAAGCCAAAACTACCCCCGCGTGGAGCTGTCGGGCTTTGTGGAAAACAGTGGTAAGTCACCAAGGGTTTGTAAGCCTAATCCTGGAAGTCAGCAGCTCGTAAATTTTGCCAGCTCTGAGAAATAGGCAGGACTGTCATTGTAAGGTTATTGCAAGCGGTAAGTCTTTCTCTGCAAGTGATCTACCGCCAATAGCAGATCCCCCCTGCTTTCCTTTAATGTGCTCTTGCATTTCATCCCCTGAGATTTGCTGCTGCTTTTTTTTTTTTTTTTTTGTACTTTTTTTTTAAAGAAAGCATCATCACAGGTGTTCAGTTCTATCAGGATAGTTGTGTGGAACATAAGGAGAGGGAAGAAGAGTGCAGCTTTTCCTATAACTATTACAAGGTTGCTTGTTGAAGTATAAGATCATGTGTTCTTGATGTGATTAGGAACTTATGAACTAAGAAATTCATTGATTGGGTACCTCATTCAAAATTTCAGAAGTGTATGTCCAACATACATGGGAGTTCTGGTGCGTAAGATGTGTTGTCCACCTAGATGCAAGCTGCAGCACAGCAAAGTGTTAAACTAAAAGCTACAATGCCTTTTCCTGATACATATGGAGTTCTTTGGGTATTGTGGTGTTCCAGATTCAGGGATACATGTGTGTGTATGTAGATAGATATTAGCATTTTTCCCTTTTAAAACTATCTACCTATCTATCCACCTTCCTATCTAGTTTAAAAACAGGGAAAATGCTAATTGACTCTCTTGGATTTGCTCAAGCCAGATGGTACTCCATCCTTCTGAAATTGTCTTTGCTCTAGTTCTTAAGCCTGAGTGTAGTCTTCAGCTGCAATGATCATCAGTCACCATTTCTTCCATGATCATAATACAACGTTCTAAATGGATAAGCTTACTGCTGGCCCTCTTCCAGTCCAGAATTATTGCCTCATAATATAAAAACAGATATAATCATGATCATTTAATACTGCGGAAATGTCATCTACATGTACGCCAATTAAATGACAAGATGTTCTCTGCCAGCGCTCACTAAATGATGATAGGCTATTAATCATCAGCAAGCTCACTGTTTTATCTCAGTTTTTGCCTTATAGGCACTTACATTTAGGTGTCAAAATTGAATGTTAGTAGTGCTCATTGTTGTGGCGTTCAAAACATATTTAGACTTTGTTCTATATATAAAAAAAGTAAATTACACTGTTTATTATGCACATAAAACATGCACATGCTTAACCCTCTCCTGGAACTGTTCCATAGTGTAATAGTGTCATAAAAATTTATTAAAGGAAACCTTGCCTGACAGAGATGGGGAGAGAACACTAGAGGGCGCTTAATGCAAATACTGTCCTAGATAAATTAATTCCTACCTCTGTATTCATAACATTTATTGGAAAAACTGTCCTTGACTTTAGTGGGAATAAGATTGGTCTCGCCAGATGAATTGGCTGTGTTTAGTCAGTGGTGTTAATTCCAGGTTTATTCTATAGTTTAACTGCTTTTGGAAAAAGTTTGCAGTTTTCTTTCTTATGTTTATTAAACTATTTACTCATGCATCTGTATTGCAGAGCTGTCTCAGTACTAGCTCTCTGCAGTATATTGAAAATTTTTGAAAGATTCCAGAGCAAACTGCTTGTCATCCAAGTTATAAAGCCCGTACATGCACACATTTCAATTTAGTTCACAGCAAGCAAAAAGTATCTAGCCAGTCATGCATGAAATCTGCATTCTTAATAATGGCTTGATTGTTAAACAGATGTAAACTTTTGCATTCTGCTCAAATGGTTGTTGTATTTGACAAGCTGGGAAGATAATGTTTTTAAAATATATCATTAAACACAATAGAAGCAGTACTGATTTGGTGATGCTATTTTTAAAAAGTATGTAATCCATCCTGTTAAGTACTTGAAAAAGAAAGGAAAACCATCACAGTTATGGATAAAAGTCTAGTGATGAAGCATACAGATACAGACACTGTACATGGCTTGATAAAGCTGTGGATTATTTCTGGCAGGGAAATAAACAGATGAGTCAACTGAACCTGGCTGGGCACATCTCTGTATGTGGAGACCACTGGGGTTTCTTTGCAGGTGCCTATATTCACTGAGGCAGATCTAGTTGCAGACTGTAGCACGTGGACAGCACCTGGTGTTTCCAGGGGTTCTTACTCAATGAAATGCTAGCAGTTTCTTTTCTGTTGTATAACATTATCTTAGCAACAAAGTGGCAGTTCAGAAAAGGACAAACTAAGTAAGAGCTAATCATTTTTCCTCAAGCTTTCCTTTTCCCCGTCTCATAAATGTTAGCTTTAGGATTGCCGAGTAAGTCAACTAAATATCCAGGTTCTGTAATAATTTTAGAACACGAGTTTCTTGGCTATAATGTAAGTAATGATCTATCAAGGGAAGATGCTAACTAGGTCTCCCTCAAAAGCACAATAACCATAACTCCATCTCATCATAAGAGACTGAAATATTATGGCTATATCCCTACTGAGATAACTTAACTTAAGTCGCTGACTTTGGAAGATAAAGGTCCCTAGACTTGCTGCCTTTATGGTCTGGTCCAGCACCTAATAGAATGACCCCCCCACAAACTTCAGTGGGCTTTGGATCAAGCCTGTAAAATCATAAAGAAGTTTAAAAGTTGGGGTCAAAATGGATAGTAAAATATTTCATTTCATATTTTGTTGATAATTTTTTGCAAAAGTTGGAAATGTTGCTTCAATACACAGACACTTTCTCCTTTTTATGATGCTATGAAATATTTGGAAATTCAGTTAGATTGCATGAGTGTGACTTCAAAAAGTTTCAGTCTAATTCATCTGCTTATTGCTTTATCTCTAACATATGCAAGTGCTTCCAAAGTACTTAAAAATAATAATAAATCCTCTCTCTTTTTCTACCCTCCTCCACTGGAGATAAATTGTGATTAGATTTGGGGGTTGCTATTGTTTATGTCTGCCCATGAGAAGAAACTGAGGGAAAGCTAACTAGACAGTCCTCCCCCAGGACCCTGTCCAGCAAAACACTTCAGCATGTGCTCAGCTTTGAGTCTGGGAATTTTCCAGCTGATGTCAGGCAATAACAAATGCACTGACAAAATCGCACTGACCTGTGCTCATGGGCCCACAACAGAAAATCATGAGTAAAAGTGGTACACATAGCAGAAGTCTTTTTTTGCAGTCTTGATTATTACTTTCCCCCAAGCCCATGGGCTAGGGACAGAAATGATGCAAACTGGTATAAGTGATTGGAAACCAGTTCAAATATGTCACACAACAGAAGTTCAGTACACATAAACCACTTTCAAAATGGCTAAAACTAGTTTAAGATAAACCTGGATGGAGGGATGCAATAACAGACTTTATTGATTTAGGTTAAATGGGTTTATTGAACTTCTTTCCCAGATTCCCTCTAGATTCAAGTTAACTCACAGTCCCCCAGCATCCCAGGATGCTTTGTACCTCCCGTGCAAACCCCCGCTTCACAGGGTAGGCTGGCTAGCATTGACCCAAGTTGTCTGCTCCAGCCAAGCAGGGAGGTATGCTCTAGTACCCCCCCAAACTTCTGGCCTGGGCCACTGCAGGCATGTGGCTGCATTTCCAGAATCAAAAGTGAATGTCTGTTTACTTACTTATCTGTTCAATCTATGCAGTTCAGACTAACCTCAGGCTTTCTGAGTGTCTATACTTAGTCATAGAGGTCACTCTGGCTGCAGGAACACTTAAGAATGGTTAGGTGTTCAAGTCTGAGGTACAAGAATTAGGTGGTCTAGCCTTCACCTTTAGGTATATGCACTTCAGATTCAGTAATGGCAAATATATGACTTGTTTTCTACCCCTTCCTTGGTACCTTCCTTGTCGGCAGCCTATTTGTGTTCTTAGTAGGAGTAATCTGTATGGGGATCATAGCTGCTCAGAAAAGGGATGCACAGTATCCATAGGTATCCGGTATGTTTGGCTGCCTTTGGCTCCAGCCTTACATTGGGATCCATGCAGGTGGATCCTTGTAGGTCTTCAAGGTGCCCATATGGTGACATGCAGTAATAATGTATTTAATGCTGACCAATAAAACAAATCCCATCAGCTAATGCTACAGTGATAGTTTTTGGAACGTATGTATTTGTAGTGAACACATCGTCTCTCAACCCCTCTGATCCTCACTGCCAGGCATTTGCATTTTCACTGACCTGGATTCTTGTATACAGGCTTCCATCCCATCAAGGAGAGCACAAAATAACTGTAGACACTCCTTCTGCCTGAAGAAGGGTGTTTGTACCTGAAAACTTGCAAGGAAGATTTTTTTTTTAGTTGGTTTAAAAAACGATATCAGATTTACCTAAAGAACCTAGCTTGCTTTATATGAATTCATGCTTTTTTTTGAAAAATAACTACGCATTTGTATTCCAAGGTACTGAGCCCATTTTTCATGACTCAAGGAAAGTTTCTTGTTGTCAACAACTGCAAGTAGCAATAGACCCTCTTCTACTCTGAGAAACAGTAGAAAGCAAGAATAATGAGCAGCACCACACCTCTTGCCCATTCTAAAAGAGGTCTCTCTTCATATCTTATTCATAATCAAGTCAAACCTTATTTAAATAAAAAAGTTGAACAGTTAGACTAACAAAGAATGATTTTACTTTGACTTTTGTTTCTGTCACTTTGAGTGCATCATAGTTTCCATTTTCCTTTAATGTGTCATGATGGCTTAATATGACTGTGCATTAAAGTTTGGGTAGATAGCTACAGAGACTAATTCTTCAGAAACATTTATGTATTGGAGGAAAAAGGAAGCAGGAAATAAAACACCACTGAAGATAGCACTCCAAACAAGTATGTTCCAAATCTGACTGATTTGAGAATGTGGCCTGAGCTGTTTTATATTTGGTCTGAAACAGTTGAGTCATGTTTTGCATTTTATAAAGACCATTAAAAATCCAAATATCTGTTTCTAGTAACGTGGTTTCACTTCTATCATCACCTCACTACTGCTGTCAAACTGATAACATTACAAGGCCAACAATCTGCAAAAATGCATGAGGCGGTGAGGAGAAGGCAACATGAAAGCAACCAAGTCAGCCAACTCTCGCTGTCTCTTGGTTCTGAGTGAGAAATTGATGACGAAAGTGAATATTATCAGTAGTGGATAGCTGCACTGGAGAAAGCAGGTTTATAGATCGAAGTAACCAAGTAACTGAAAGTGTTGTCTATTTTCTCATTATATAATAGTTTAAGAACTTATAGCAGGGACAAGTTAAACTGTAAATGACAGAGGCTGGCATGTCCTTAACCACTATTTAAAAATATTTATTTCCCTTAAGCCAGGGGTGTCAAACTTACCTGGCACCATGGTTTAGATAAGGGTTGCTGGGCTAATCTGCAGCCTGGATTGGGACAGACCCCTGTGCAGTGCCCATGGTGCCAGGTCCACATGTATGCAGCATGCTCTGGTCCCAGGCTTCACTGTGCACATGGCATGCAGGGCTAGCATGGGGTGTACACTGCATGCAGTGCCCAGCATGGACCCAGCACTGCAGACACTGCATTGGGAGTCAGTCCTGGGCAGCACATACAGCTCATGCCCTGCCCCCCTGTGCCATGTATAGTGCTGGGTCCAGCCTGTAATGTGTGTTTCCTGCCAGCCCCATGTGTTGCATGCACAGTGGGCCCTAGGGCTGGTATGTGCTGCACATGGTCTATCGAGCTGGACTGGCTGCATGCCCTGCATGCAGCACAGGGGGCGAGCAAAAGGTTCATGCTGCATGTGGCACCCTGCTGGACCAGAGCCAACGTGTAGCGTGGGTTCAGTGGGGTGCTACATGCTGCACGCTCCTTGATCTGACTGACTGTGCCAGGTGCAGGGCACATGGCTAGTCCAGCCCCATGCAGTGCTTGGGGCTGGCTCAGAGATCTGTGAGTTGGATCATATGGGCCAGATCTGGCTTGCAGGCTGCATGTTGGAAACCCCTGCCTTAAGGTCTTCAAAAAGCAAAAAAAAAAATGTAGCAGTCTTCCTGTTCTGTTGCATACTGTATAAAATAGTGCTTTATTTAAATTAAAATTTAAATGTCAAAATCTTTACCAGAGTTTGAAAACAGAGTAAGTTTTCAAAACAAACAGATTAAAGCTATGGAGTTGATAATGCACTGCATTCTTAACTTTCCAAGTTTGTTAAATGCCAGTTAATAATTACACATACATTTACTGTGCCCTTAAACTGTGGTTACATAGTTAACTTTAATTAGTTTAATAATTAAGAAGCTTTTCTTTAATATACACTTTCTCCCTTATTAAATGTAAAAACATTCTTACAAGCCATTAAAGGCATATAAGTTATTCTCCAAATGTATAGAATATGAGCAGGAAGGAGAAATAGAAGATGCTCATTTCTTACTTTTGGAGGCTAGGAAAAGCACGCTCAACTTCTGACAGCTGTGAATACTTGCATAAGTTGGCGGAGTGCTGAGGACATGGAATTGACTGGGAGGAAAGAGGAAGTGTTTGAATGGCAGAGATTCCAACCAGCAGTTTGCTTTGTCACTGAACATAGGATTTATATGCACGCCCCTCACCCCCCCTTAAAATGTGTGTGCATTTATGCTCTAAAAATGGTGAAATATTAACTTAAAGCAACAGAAATATGGACTTTAAATGTCATTATATTATCTCCCAAACTTTCATGAAATTGAAAAATATCCCCAAACATTTAAATATAAAAATCATAATCGGCCAGTAACGAGTAAACATTTTGTCCAGAACACATTTATGCACGTTTTAGGATATGCCCATATTATGTCCTTTTACTTGCATGCATAATAACATGATTCACAATATGTGATTAGTATTTTCTCCAAGTTTCCAGGGCTAATTTGTGGCATTCTTAATCAGGATGAATTTGGGCCCTGAGAGAGATCTCTTAGGGTCCATAGAAGTTGGTAGTCAAACTTGAAAACAGGAGCTAGCATAGCTATTGCTTCTTCTGTAGTTCCAGACTAGTGCTGTCCAAGTAACTCTTCACAGTGTTTTATATTCAGCATTCCTCTTCAAAAGTCTTAATGGCTTGTCTTTCATGTGTTGGCCCCTGTCATGCGGAGCAGAGTTGAGTTGTGGGGCCTCTAAGTTCAATTTCCCCTTGACCAAATTAAAGAGGGTGAAAAACACCTCAAGTTTCTTGATCACTTTTGAAAGAGAAGAAAAGTATGCTTCAATCATTGCAAGAGCCTTCCTGACTGTAAAACAGCACAAATGGAGGCTGCCTTGCTGGCAGCAAAACTGCAGGTAATGTTACTTTTAGAGCCTCAAAATACCAGGCATAAAGTAAGGCTATATTTAGCCAAGTTCCCCAAGTCAGCATGGCCTGTGGTGGCAAATGTTTTATGTAGTGCTGCATGTTCAGGACACATCCAGATGTGCGTAGATGTTTGGTTCCCCAGGGACAACTAGCAGCAGTGCACTAGGGGAGGCTGGGGCCAGCACAGTCCTGGCCCCAGCAGCCTTACCTGGAGTCCTGGGGGCCTACTGGGGTTACAGCCACAGAGATCCTGCTGGGCAGACCCTGGCCAGCAGCTGCAGTGCGGCTCCAGATGTCCCAGCTTCGCTTTTTAGCAGTGCATGCTGCCTGAGCATATGCTGCACAAGTTTTTTTTCCTGCATTTTTTTTGACCCCTGGATATCCAGGGGTCAAAAAAAAAAGTGGGGGGAAAAAAAGCCTGACACAGTGCACGCTTGGGCAGCATGTCCTTGGAGCGCGGAGAACACCAGACTGTGTGGTATGTGGCACTGCAAACATGCTTACAGCATAACATACTGCATGACTGTGCTTGTCTGGATGCGCCCTCAGTGGTGCCTTTAAGAACACTTTTTTCACACTTGAAATAGAGTTGACAGCTGGAAACTCATGTCTAGTTTGTTCAGCAACCCTATTACACCAAAACAGATAAAGTGCAGAACACTTGCATCACTGGGAATTACTAAAAAAAATACATTTTTTCTTTGTTCCTGACAGTAGAAAAATGGACCATGATCAATTCTCAGTATTTCTTGTAAATCACCAACAACCCTTTATACTCAACTTTTTAATTGAAAATACTGTTTGGGACCTGGTGAACAATCCATGGGTAAACTGCTGATCTATGGTTTCCCAGTCTACTGAAAGTCCATGGATCACAGTTTGGGAGCCACTGGCTTAAAAATACATTCAAGTTTTCCTATAGGTTTTGTTTTGTCATACTGAAACTGTCCCCTGAGCTATTGGCAGTCCTTGTCATTAAGGCCATGTTCATCTGATTTCTTCTACACTTTCAAAGAAGCTTTAGTTCAGAATGTGTCCAAGAAATATTTTGGTCTCCAAAAAAAATCTAGCCATGTTGTCCTTTATGTATGATATCCATGAATGCCTTCAGTTTTAAAATCTGAAATTTTAGTAGTTTGGACACTGAGCCAGATTCTATTCCACCTATTGGGTACATGAATGGATTTTGTGATTCGATTCTATTCTACCCTTCTTGCATCTCTGAACAACTTTTAAAGTGGCTGTCCTCCACTTTCTCTTCGCTTCTTTTTTATCACCCAGTCTTAAGGGTGAAGCGATAGCATTTACAATTAGATGAATTAATGTAGTGGGGCTTAACCTTCTGGCCTTGTGGGCTAAATGAGTGGTGCAGGTCCTGTCCATGGGCTGGATCTAAAACAGTGTCCGTCTACACGTGTGATCTGGCATGCTGCCCTGACCGCGTGAGCTGGATTTGGCTGCATGCTGGTTTGACCCCACATGGTGGCCCCACCATGCATTGGTGCAGTCCACCACACAGGGCCATGTCATTCCAACATGAAGGCTATGAGGCTCCCAATGGGTCTAGAAATTTGGCCTCAGAGCAATGGCAATTAATGCTGCCACTACATCCCCACCACCAAATTTTTGGACTTATGGTGAGACCCACAGACCAGACAACATGGCTTCACGGGCTAAAGGTTAAGCACCACTACATTAATAGATCATCATTAGAGATTTGAACAGGTTCGAATAGAATCATCTTAGATTCCTACATCCACTTAGGTGCCTGGTAGGTGAAATAGGATCTGGCCCCTTGTCTGTCTTTCATGGCAATGCCAACCAGAGAGTGTATTTTGACTGGAAACAAATCCTTTGCTGTTGCCTTTGGAATACAACTGAACTTGAATTAGTTCTCCAGTTAAGTTAAACATTTTCAATTAAACTTAGCAGAACTGAGCACTGCTGTAGTGGTGAGGGGGATGGATTTAGGATGACCCTCCAATAATTCAATTCTATACGTGGAAAAATATAACTAATTTATAAATTTTCCATATTTAGAATCTGATTATTGGGGGGTGATCTTAAATACAGAGTTTGATTTGGGTAAATATGTTAATAGCACTTATTAATTTCAATGCTTTTATACTTCTTTCAGTTATGATTACACTATATATTGTAAGCATGTGTGTGTGGCAGTGTTTTTTGCTCTCTTGGTCTTGGATTAATTATGTGAGATCACCCCTGTTAATTTCTAGAAGATTAATTTTTACGGTGATAAACTATTTTAGCAGTGATTATGTAGGATTAGAAGGGGAGGTGGAGTGCCTTCGAGCATGGAGAGGATGATGAAGGATTCTTACTTGCCTTGGGGAAATAAAAAAAAAAAAGCATGGTGCAGTCCAAAAGAGGAATGTGCAGCTATGCCACTGCACCCCTTCTGGATCTGCCCCTGTATAGCAGTCTGCAGTAGGGCATCTAACTATGAATCTGTGCCAATAAATGGAAATATGAGAGCATTGACCTTAAATTTTGTTCTTGTTGTGGGAAAAGTTAAGGGCATATGTAAAATATTTAGGTGCTGAATTTGTTTTGTGTTGATTAGGTTGGGTACACAGTATATTACCTTTTTAAAAAAGATTTTGTTATGTATAGTAGTTCCTATTGTTTTAAGCTGAAACAATATTGTATGTCCTAATGACAGCTTTTTCTTTCAATATGCTAATTCTGGCATATATGTTCATTACAGAATATGAAATTGTGAAAGCATATGAAGTAAATCAGAATGGGGATTACATAACACATGAAATCACACATCACGAAAGAAGGAAGAGGTCAACTACAAATACAGAAATTGACTCTCTTCATCTACGACTCCATGGATTTGGTCATGACTTCCACATGGATCTTAAGACTTCTAAAAACCTAATGGCACCTGGATTTATAATACAGACACTGGGGAAAAGTGGAACTAAATCAATACAATCTTACCCACCACAGGACTTTTGTTTTTATCAAGGTTTCTTACGATCACACAAGAACTCATCAGTAGCACTTTCAACATGCAAAGGCTTGGTAAGTAAAGACCTGGAAGGCATGCTTACTGTTAGCTAGGGCTGTTTTGAAAGAACACAGGATAGTTATTGCAATGAAAAATTTTAACGTTTTGTTAGTGAAGTTTACAAAAAGATTCAGATACTGAGATCAGATAAAAATTTAGTGTCAGTTCCTGAGATAAGCATTCACGCTTAAAAAAACTTTCTCACTAATTATGTAAGTTGTCATAAAAACATTGGAAAATAGGGCTGGATGGGATTTCAGGGGTATATACAAGTGTTACATTTAGATCAGCCTAACCATGGCTTAAATTGCCCAAACAGTGGTGCACCCGATACACGCTGGTTCACGTAGGAGAAAAACTAAGTTTAGATCGATTTAAAGGCTGATCTAGCAAATGCCCATATGCATTCACAACACAGCCCCAGGGGTGGGAAAATGCAGCCACTTGCCCCAGCCCCAGGACTGTTCTGTTCCTACCCCCTTGACCCTGACCAGGCTACTTTTAGTCCCCTGACTATCTCCTTTGGACTGGGCCTTGACTTAACAGCCCACCCTGCAGACTTGCCAGCCCATCACCACAATTGGGGGCTGTGCATGTCACTCCTGGGAGTGGCAAACACTTGAACATGCCACTTATGGGTTAGGTTTAGGTAGCTTAAAGTAAGATGTGTAAACCTAAAGTGGCTGCATCAGATGGTACCCCAAGAGGTCATCTAGTCCAACTTTTGTGTTTAACGCAGACTCGTATCTTTCTAAACTATCCCAGACAAATGATTGTTCAATATGCATATAAACTTTCCAACAATGGGATTCCACAACTTCTCAATATAATCTTTTTGAATGCTGTTTGGATTACACTCCCTCCCCCCCCAGTATTGTACTGTTGATTCCTATTCAGTTTGCGATTCGCTATCAATCCTACGTCCTTTTCTGCAGTGCAACAGTTTAACCAATTGTTTCCTATTTTGCATTTTTGCATTCTACATACAGGATTTTGAACTTCCCCTTACTGAATTCATGCTATTTATTTTATACCTTTTTCTAATTTAATTCCTATTTCTAGACTAAGAAGTACCTGCTATCTTCCCCTCCCCTCATCTTAACTGGTGCCACCAACAAATTTACTAAGTGTAGACTCACTTCTTTCCCTTAAATGAAGATACCAAACCTAGGGCAATTTGGATCCAGGACAAACCTTTGGAAAACATCATATAATACCCCTTCCCAATTTAAAATTGAGCTGTTGATAAGTGCTCTTTGAGAATAGTTCTCCATTCAGTTATGTAACCAACGTAGGGGTATCTTATGTAGTGTCATCTAGATGATTTCCTTAGCTTACATTTAAAAACATCATTGGAGACAGAGTAAAAAACCTACTAAAATTGAGGTATATCACATCACTGCTCCCTCTCCCTTCCTATTCACAGGGCCTTTCTACTTGTCATTGGAGAAAACTGGGTTGAGTAGACATGAATTACTCTTGACAAATCCATCCTGACTTTTCTTTATCACATGTTTTCTTCTAGGGGCTTACAAACTGATTTCTTTATGATTATGCTCCAGTATCTTTTTGGGGACTGAAATTAAATTGTCTGTTCTGCAATTCTGCAATTTGATCTTCCGAGGTCCCTTCCAGCCCTGATGTCTATGAAATCTATGAAATTCCTTGGGTCCTTCTTTCTTCCCTTCCCCCTCCCCCACACCTTTATTTTCTTAAGAAAAAAAGATGAAAGGTAGCTTTTCCCTCTTTCCAGTCTTCTGGGACTTCACATGGGATTCAGGAATTCTTGAAGATAAGTTCATTTTTGGGTGCATCTACACATGCCATTAAGGTGAGGTGATAAGCTCCAGTGCAGTTTGCACTGGAGATTATCATGGCACCTTAATGGCACATGTAGATGCTCAAACTGCTGCAGTCCAGGGCGCATGAGGAGATGCTGTGCCTAGGACTGCAGCAGTTTGAGCCAGTGTGGAGCAGCCCCAGGCTGGCCTGGGGCTGGGAGTTCAGTCCTAGGATCTCGGAGGTGGTGTCAGGTGGCAGAGGGGCTGGCTGGGACATGAGAGTGCCCCAGGGTGTGGAGCCTGTGTCTGGGCAGCAGACAGGAGTCTGACTCCCTGTTGCCTGTGCTGACTGGGTGCAATGTATGCCCGGGTCAGTGTTTACATGTGTCCCTGACGGCGCTATCTTATGACAGTGAAAACTAGTTTGCTGAGGTCTAATAGCATTGCATGTGTAGACTTTGATTCTTTACAGTGTAGAAAATTAGTCTACTGTGTAGTAAAGTGCATGTGTGGATGCACCCTCTGTATAATAACGTCATCCTTGACTGCCCTAGGATTATCCAGACCTATTGATTTGAAAGCATCTAGCTTATCAAAATTATCTTCAATTTGTTCTTTCCCTTCTTTAGGCTCTGTCCTTGTTAACTGTTTTCAGCTGATAGTTGCCCTTTTTGTGAAGATTGATGTTAAAAAAGGCTCTTTTGTTTCTGTATTATTCTCTTAAATGTTTCACTAAGGTTAAGTACAAATATCCACTCTCTGTAAGGTTCTTTTTAATTTCCAAGTAATTGAAGAGCCCGTTATTTAGCCAGCCGGGTGTCTGCCTTGCTACACCTCCTTCACATTAGGATAGCCATTAGGATAGCCTGCTCTTGTGCATTTAATATTCTCTCTCCAAGAAACAACCAAATCTCCTCCCCATTTTTCCCTAAGATGTGCCTTCTAGGGGTTTCTGCTGCCAGTTCTCCAAGTTTGTGAAAGTTGCTTGTCTGAAGTCCAATGTTTATATTCCGATGTTCTCCTTTTTTCCTTGCCTTAGGATAAGAACTTTGTTATTTTATATTTACTGTCATCCAAGTTGCTGTTCATCTTCAGATTCTCAACCAATTCTTCCCATTCATGAGCAGCAGACTGAGATGGATTTTCCCCAGCGCTGGTTGGGTTGTACCAAAAACTTGTCTCCTAACAATCCAAGAAGTTGCTGATCTATCTGTATGCAGCTGTTGCTGTCCCATCAGATATCACTGAAACTGAAGTCTCGCCTATCCACCAAGTCCTGTGAATTGTCTGGATAGTTCTGTTAGTAATTTAAAAAAAAAACCAACCTCAGCCAGTTCTTTATCTCGATGTGTGGTACTGCCCTCATGGTGTTCCCCTTTATGTTAACCCAGGGCTGTCTAACTTGTAAGCAGCTGAGGGCTATGCTAGTGCAGCTTTGAGTCCCTGGACTGCATCTCACCTCATTCCATGTCTGCATTGTGTGCACAGGCAGCACCTACCACCCTGGCTACACTAGCAGCTGGACCTATAGAGGGAACAGTGGCTGGTTAGGAGCTAGGAGGGGTGAGGGGCACCTGTTAAGCTTTCATGGGCCATCAATTGGATAGCCCTACCTTATCCCAGAGCCTTTCAAAAGGTTAATCTCCCACTTCGTTTTAGATCAAATTCTAAGTATGTTTAGAATGCAGAATAAGGGCTGTGTCACATGTTACACTTAGCATGTATTAAAAATATGAATGACCACGTGTTCTACCAGTAAAACATGTGCTAAGTGCGCTCACATTGTAGCAGTTGCACAAAAAGTTGTAAGTCATATCTCCATATCATATTAAGTAAACATGTTCAGCTATTGTCAGACTGCTCCACAGAGATAATATGAACAATTTGTAGTCCTCACCCAGCTGTGTGTGACATCAGCCAGGGATCCCTCTGCTGTATCACGTCTCCAGGTGGGACAAAGAAAGCCATGCATGTCAGGAGGAAGGATCCTGGATCTTTTACTTGTCCAGTTCCTCCAGGATTAAGTTGAAAGCTGGGTGCCTTCAACCTCAGCTGGGACTCACAATCAGGAAGCTGTGTGTATGTTAGAGATCATAGCAGACATTAGCATGAGATGGCTTGGAACACATTCTAACTTTAATATTGCAGAGATTTAACACACACTGGGTTTGTCTACACAAGAGACATTACTGCACAGTACCTGTAAATAGGGCTTGTGTAGACACTGACCGGGAGCATATTGCTCCTAGTCAGCCACACCAGCTGGAGCCCGGTCCTGGCACTGCTGAGCTCCTGGCTCCCCCCAGGGTCCCTCTCTTCCCCTTGCTGTCCTGGCACTGTAGGGCTCCCAGCCCCTCACAGGAGTGGGGAGCTGAGCAGTAGGCCTGTGCGAGTTGGAAGCAATCCAGTCCGGCTTCGGATCCAGCCACTTCTGATGCCAGGGATCCAATCCAGAGCTCCAGACTGGGTTTCTGCTTCGATCCGGCTGAAGCAGCTCCCAAGCATCACAGCTGCCTCGGAGATCTGGCCATAGGGTATAATGGGGACTCAATGAAATATCTATAACTTTGTTGTTTTTTGTCTGATTTGGATGGAACATTCAGGGATGGTAGCCTCGGCTGAGAGCATGAAGTCTGCCAAGTTTCAAGAAGATTGGTGCAGGGGTTTGGGGGGAAACTGTACCCCAAGTTCTTGAAAGCAAAACTTGTGTCATGTCTGTGTGTTACACTACAGGGGGTGGAAACGCCAGGGGTGGTAGCCCCTGGTGAGGCCACAAGGCCTGCAAAGTTTCACGATCAGTGCAGGGATTTGGGGGAAACTGCACCTCAAGCTGCAGACAAGCAAAACTCGTGACATGGGTGCTTCTGCAACTGACTATCTCTTGGGGCAGTTGATTGTCTGTATCGATTCTTTCCTCTCTTTAGTCTCTGGTTTTGTAGGTATTAATTGATGGTAATTAACTGGTTACATTAGCTAGGTACTGTGTATTGGGCTGGACCCTGATTGAATCATGACTGATTGGTAACTGGTAACACAGTAGCTTAGCAGTCAGGCCTGCCGTACTGTCTCCCACACCCCAAGACAGACACAATTGCACAAACACCCATGTCACAAGTTTTGCCTGTCAGCAGTGTGCAGGAACACCATTGCGCCCAACTGCGTCTAGATCGACTTGATGCATACTTCAGCCAGGGGTCCTGGTGTATGATGATCTGTGTCCGCTGTATCTTCAT